ACACTGTTATTATTATTTATTAATATTATCATTTAAAAGGGAACAAATATAAATGAATACGTCGTGCCAAACTACCACTGACTATAGTTGAATTCCAGCAGATATTATCCAGCACAACTTGCAAGAAAAATAAGATAAATTTGAACAACCTTTTGTTGATCTTGCATCCTCTGTAGTTCATACCTTGCTTCAGCAAGCACCCGTGTAGCCTTGTCAATCAGTTCCCTGTTAGCAGCAGCTTGCTCCTGCGCGTTTTCTGCCGTTGTTTTAGCATCTTCTGCAACTCGTTTCGCTTCTTCCTCAATCTAAACCTCAAAGTATTATTATTTAGTAATCGTTCCTGTCTCAATGAAGACCTGATTCATCTCCTCGCTTTTCTACAGATTAGATGCATTAGCATGTCTGTCATGTCCATATGCAGGGTTATTTCCTTCCAAGACATGGCGGCATCTCAGCAAAATCACAAACACGGAATCCCTTTGCACCGATTGTACTGGTACTCAGTTGATCCTGTGGTTTGTTTGAAATCAAAATACCCCATCTAGGCTGAAATGTCCAAAATTCTATGACCAGCTATTGTTTCACATATTCCACTGCTTTATTTGCACTCAGATTTCAGATTCAACTCGACAGGAATGCTTGGGTGCGATATGATCATTGCGATTCACTGCGACGATACATAAGGACAGGTTCGCTGTCGAATGCCTCAGTCGTGTAGAGAGACAGTTCTTCTATTCGTAGAAGTATTTTGCTATCAATTTTTTCATTTTTTAGAAAGTATAAAAATAAAAACAACCTGTTGCGGATCAATGTCCGGTAATCGCAAGCCTTCAACAGTAGTCAAACTTTCCGCAGCTGTTTTGTACGCCCGTTCCGCTTCTGCAAGCTGTTCCGCGGCAAGTTTGCGGGTCTGATTCAGCAACTTTTCAGTAGCATTTAACTGCGCCATCATGTCTGCTATTTCTTTGCTGGTGGCTTCACCTAACAAAGCAGTCATTCTCAGGATTAATTCAAAATACGGCATATGAGCTGGTTGTAAGAATATGAGACGACGTAAAAGCCAAAACCCATTTATTCGTTGGTAACAATTGCAAACTGGAGCTACCGCAGATACGGCTGCCGATAGTGCCCTCTCTCAAGGACTGTTTGGAAGTATGCTGGTCTCTGGCATATGTCAATACATATCTATCACAGAAACAAGTGAATTAATCCAGCATAGAAACTAAATGCCATTCGGTTACTTTTCACTGCGCCATGTCCGCCAGCTGAATTTTATACACTTTTTTAAATTTGTCATAACCTGTATCAACCGGAAATACTCATAAAAATACCTCCAAAGATAGCTTCTTTTGCTTCAATGAGTGCTTGTTTGGAAGCATTTGCAATTTTTTCAGACAACGCTTCAATTTCGTTGCTGCGATTTTCATGTTTTTCCGCTAGTTTACGCGCCTCCTGTGCGATCTCTGATAACTGCAAAGAAAAGAATAATTGGCCAACGCACCGGCTTTCGTGCGATGATGCGTTTTTTGCATAGCTCCCCGCAGTTTTTGTCGCTACCGGCATCGGTTTTTTCGGCAGATCCTTCTAGCTAAACAAATTAAAACTGGCCGCCAGAACTGGCAGGAATCACCCTCTTAAAATTCCAGCTTTCTAGCATCTCAGAACCCCGAGTTATGAATTTACGCGGGGAGATTTTGGCGGGCCCGTACGCGGGTACCACGCTTAACTGGGGGTTGAATTTGAGCTCATTAGTGCCTACTTGGGCGGGGAACACTCCCTTAAAATTTCAGCTTTCTAGCGTCTTAGGTCCCGAATTATGAATTTATCCGGGAGAAATTTTGGCTGGCCCGTACGCGGGTACCACGCTTA